TACGTTTTGTCAGAGGTTATCAGGTCACAAATGCAGGGCAGTTCGCTTCTTTGGATGTTTCTATGATGGGGCGGGGGTTCCAAGTCACTAAATACCGGGTATTTAAGGGAATGGTTCCTTAAATATCCGGTATTTAGTGACTTGGAACCCTACCAACATAGCAACATCCAAAAAAGCGAACTGCCCTGCATTTGGGACCTGATAACCTCTGACAAAACGTACATCTCTGATGGGGGAGGGGCCGACTCCCTTAAAAACCCAGTATTTAAAGACTACAGAAACACCACTACCCGAAACCCGCTATCAAACTCGAAACGTCATGAATCGCACAACTCCAAAACACCACACCCCCAACCCTAAACACAAGAACAGCCCCGCTGACGCTGCTTAAGGAGGCACGGACTGGTAGACAAGCACCCCTTAGCTTAGCACCCCTTCTCCATTGCCCCATAAGTCTCATGGGACCCGGCATGTTGCTGTACATGTGACAGCACATTTGTTTTTTGCTGTCGTTGCGGGGGCGCGTTTTTGTTTGTTGCTGTCGTTGCGGGGGCGCGTTGTTTTTGGTTGCTGTCGTTGCGGGGGCGCGCTTTTTTCGCTTCCTGGCGCGTTTGTTTGCTGTCATTGCATGGGTGCAAGTGGAGGTTTTTTTGTCTGCCGTTTACGTTTTTTTTTTGGGCTTCTTTTTGGTGGTGGTGGCGGTGGTGGGAGGGTTCTCTGTATTTCCACAGCAAAACCTCTATTTTCGCTTTAACAGCGAAACCTCTATTTTCTGTTGTATTAGGATAACATCTACTTTCTCAGTATTTCATGAGGCCAACTAACCCTAATTCTCAAAAGTCTCATTTCTTTATGTTGAAGATGTTCCCAAAGGAACACCTGTAATTTACTGTATCCAGGATAACCTCCATTGTCTAATGTTTTCATGAGCGAGGGGGTTGCGGGGTCCGGGGTGCGCAGCCAACAGAATGATCGCATGATGGGTTTCTCATATACTTTGAAACAGGCTGGCACGGCTGAAAACAGCGGGGAGGGGGGGGGGGAAGTTGGGGTGACTCAGCCCCCCGCAATTGCAAACACAATGCTGGCATGATGGGTTTCCAAAAAGACGCATATACTGCTAAACAAGCTTGCGCAAGCGGGGGGGGGGCAAACAAACCCTACTTTCTTAATTTATACTTTTTTTGTGGTTCAATAGATGTTTATGCTGTCAAGCAAGCTTGCACAAGCGGCGGATTGGCGGGGCGCAGCCCCCCATTTGTAAACAGACTGTTCGCATGATGGGCTTCAGATTCAAAGAGTCATATGCTGGCAAGCAAGCTTGCACGGCACGGCTCAACAAAAACACGGGTTGCGCAGCCCCCGCCCCCAATTGCAAATTGCAAACACAAGGCTCGCACGACGGGCATGATGGGTTTCAAAAGAGTCATATGTTGACAAGCAAGCTTGCACGGTTCAAAAAGGCGCGGGCATTGGGGGCAGCCCGCCCCCTATTCGCAAACACAATGCTCGCATGATGGGTTTCAAAAAGACTCCTTTGCTTCGCAGGTCCCCCACGTGCAGGGTTTCCAAAACCTCACATGCTCTGAAGCAAGCTTGCAGGGCTCAAACAAGCGGGTTTTTGGGGCGGGGGGCTGCTTTGAAGCAAGCTTGCACGGCTCGAAACGTGGCGCAGCCCCGCCAGTTGCAAACACAATGCACGCATGATGGGTTTCAAATTACTCATATGCTCCGAGCCAAGTCTGCATGGCTTACCCCCCCCCCACTTCTGTCATACTTTCGTTATTTCGCTCGTTCCATAAACTAGTGTCTTTGTGTCTTTCTCTCTTTTTCTCTCTATTTATTTTTTGATAATTACATGGCGTTCCTTCTTTCTTTCGTTCTGTCCCATACCTTCTCCTTCAATTCCCATGAATATGAAGATAAAATACACGTTCGCCTACTAGACACGGATTAATTATCCCGAAAGCAATCAAGTCAACGTTTGCACGGAACATGTATTTGGCCGTGTGTATGTGTAGCTGACTATAGTAGTTTCTTAGCTCGGGGTATAGGTTTGGCACAGTGTCGGCGATGAACCATATACATGGATCGCGCGCATCGACGCGGCAGATTTCGCGACATCAACCATGGCGGAGCAACTCCCTGAAACCAATTTGTAGCTGATTCAAACTGTTTCTGAGCTCGGGATGAATTATTAAACACATGTTTGCGAACCATTATCAGCATTAATTAATAGTCTAATAGTATTGGAAATCTTAATATTATTAGTAGTACTAGTATCATTAGTGATATTAGTATTGGTACTATTACTACTGCTATTACTTGTATTACTATTATTCATATCGCTACTATTCTTCTTACGAATGCTATTATCATTACTAATATTATTATTATGATTACTACTTACGAATATCACGATCATTAGTATTTTTACTGTTATTACCACTGTTAATATTACTAGTAGAAATACGATTGTTATGATTAGTGCCACTCTTATTACAAACAATACTACTACTATTACTCGTATTACTATTATTACGATTGTTACGAATATTTTCTATTATTATAAGTACTACTGTTGTTCTTATCACTATTATTACTACTATTAATATTATTATGGGGACCCGTTATTTTTTTTGCTGTCGTTTCCGGGGCTGTCGTTGCGTTGGCTCGTTTTTTGTTTGCTGTCGTTCCCGGGGCGCTTTGCTTTTGATGTCGTTCCCGGGGCGCTTTTGTTTTGCTGTCGTCCTCGGGGAGCGTTTTTGTTTTTGCTGTCGTCCCCGGGGCGTTTTTGTTTGTCGTTGCGAGACCTTTGACCTACATGTGCACACCAAAAAAAACAAGACATACATACGTACAAAAACAGATGCATGCATAAACATACGTACATACATACATACATACATACATACATACACACAACATACATACATGCACAAACACGACCTACCTGCCTACCTATGTACCTCTACATACCTACATACGGTGAAGCAGTATGTTGAGAAATATTATCACCGAAAACATTTGAGAGTCTCGCCCGGCATCGGGTTAGGGTCTAGGGCCCTAAACCCTTAACCATACGAGCTGAAAAGCGTGAGGTCTGCATATGAAAACTGCACAGCGCTTGCATGTAAAGAAGCACAACACTCCTTTTGCTGCAGGCTTGAGCCATGCGTCGCCAAGTCCAGGCTCTGCTGCCATGCCTTGCCGCTATCCAGATCAGTGTGCTGTCTCATCAGAGCTCGCTTTCAGACCCCTATTGCTTTTCTGATCTGGATTAGGGCTAAGGTCGATGGCAAAACCGTTCATCATATGGACAAGTGTGTCATCTGATTGAAGACGCTTCGTGAGGCCGTCAGCTAACATGCGGTCTGTGCTGGTCCAGTAGATCACCGTCGTGGCACCATCTGGTGGGCGATCATTGCCCAATGGGTCGCCGATCTCTTCGCCTTGTGCCCTCCATAGCTCTTGCCGCATGGCGCACAAATCGATCGCCAGCCTCTTGTCTCCGACACTGCCGGTGGTCGGGTTGTGCAGGTGCGACCACAAGCTGAAGCAGTCGGTGAACCAGGCTACCTTCATACGGTCCTGGGCCTCGACCATCCATTGCGTAGAGCAGGTCCCGAAAGGAACATATATAGTCCATGGATCACCGCCCGAACATGGTCTGCTTCCAAAGCCCCCATCTGCATCGACAAAGTTTCTGCTTGTAAAGTCGACTTGCAGACACGACGTATGACTGTGCTGTGCCACGAGATGGGATAAACCACCCCTTTCATGTTCTTCTCGCAGTCGTCCGGGGCAAGCATCAGCACACGTCCGCTTTGGCTGCGGTAGCCCATTCTGTCTCCACTGGCGCTCTGGTCGTAGTCCGCGGCATAAGAGGCGTCTTGCACCGCCAAAAGCATCACCTTATCGAGGTCCATGGCCTCGGCGGGGTAGAACAAACCTTGGTCCTTTGTCCGGCTGACGTAGCGCACCAGGTTGTTCGCCTCCACTATAAGTCTTGACCCACCGCCTTGGTCAAGGCCGTTTGAAGTCTAGCCACTCCATACGCCAGGTCCGGGCGGCAGACACGGACCAGCCAGTTGAGAGATCCAATCACGGATCTCAGTTGCCCTTGTTCTGCGGGCGTGGCCTTCGCTTCGCGTTGACCTCGTCGCCGCGGTTCCATCTGAATGGGACGAACGCGGCTGATGAGTTCCGGGCAACTCACATGAATGCCTCGCTCAACTTGCACCAGCCACCTGCCACAGTACTTGAAGTTGGTGGAGTCGAGGGTCCCGAACTTATAGATTTGTTGTACTTCTTCTAGAACTTGCTGCATTTCCTGGTTCCCACACCAAAGGAGATCATCCACGTGAATAAGAAGAAGTCCTCGCACATAGGTGCAGCCGTCAGGGCGAGCGCCGTTGAGCACGTAGAAGCCGGGTTCGTGCACGTAGTGGACACCTCGATCAGGTCGTCGGGGTCCATGTCGTAGGGTGCTTGGTCCTTTGGCATGTTAAGGATAAGCTTGCGGTCCAACTCGGACCCCTGAAGGAAAGCTGCCGAGATGTCCCCCGATCGCAAGGGAGCCTTCCTTCTTGGCTGCTGAGAAAGAGAGCAGCAGTCCCATGGCCGTCTGTGAAGCTGTGGGGCTGTCTGTGCGCCTGCTGGAGGCATCCTCCAAATCTCCTCGCACAACAAGCCGGCTCTTGAGTTTTCGCTCGGGTGCGTCCTTCTCGGCCTTGTCGACGTCGACCCATCTAGTGGGAATAACCCGAAGATTCGGGTCATTGCGTTTCATCTCACGAAACTGGTCGGCTGTGATCTTCTTCATGTTCGTGTAGCCCTTCCAGTTGTCCCACTCTTTCTTCCTGGCAGCATCTAAGCCACGCTTGAGATCATCACTGGCGTGGCGGTACACGATCTCGCGTCCTGCTCCCTGTTTCTGCACCTTCTTCTTGTACTTCTTCTCTGCCCTGTTGGCCAAGAACGCGTGGCTTGCCTTGTTCTTCTCCTTGGCCTGGAGTAGCTCGCTTCACCTCGTCAAAGGTCTCCGGATAGGCCATGTGTCCCAGAGCTGGCGGCGGGTCACCTCGACGAACCATGGGTGGTGAACGTGACCTGGGCACCCCATCGACCTCGTCTGGTGACCTGTGAAGAGCTTGCTGCAAAGGCGTAATAAAGGACGTGGCTGTGTGACCTGTCTGGTCGGCGGCTCCAAGTCAGCTTCCAGCTCTCCACTCCCCTCGGGCACCTCCATCTCCTGGTCGCGGTGATTGTCCTCAGTCTGGTTGCCAGCCGGAACGGGCGATTCCACAGAGCCTTGCGAAAAGTCAAAGTAGGGAAGCTGCAGAAGGGGAGTGCCTCCTCGTCTTCAAGAAGGTCGATGTGGGCAAAGGTGCGCTTGAGGTGCGGTGAAGTGGGCCTCATATCCAGCCCCTGTCGTCGCCGAACCTCCTCCACGGCAGCTGGTCGGCAGGCTGTCTCTGCCGCGAGCACCGTCATTCCTCCGTGCAACAGCCACAAAGAGGACTTGCCCTCCATGTTCATGACCCTTGCCGGGCCGCACCATTTTCCCCGCCGAAAACAGCTCACAAGGTCTCCGGTGCGGTACGCTTCCTGAGCATAGCCCTTCGCGAGGAGCCGTCTCGGTCGGAGGGTCCAGGGAAGCTGGCGGCGGCACTTTCGCAAAGGCGCCGGTGTAAGCCATGTAGTGCGGTGGTCCTCCTTTTCCGTTGTTGGCCGGCTTGCCCTTTGAAGCTGTAGTCGCCGAGGAAGACGTAGCCGAAGAAGTGCCCCGGCTCTTGCTCTTCCCTTTTCCTTTCGGACATTCAAGCTGCATCCCCTGCCCAGTGGCCGGATTGGCCGCATCGGCGGCAGGAGGTCGGGGCCTTCAACGCATTGACCCGGGTGCGCCTTTCTTCCAGGGAAAGCCCAAGCATGCGCTTGCTTTCGCTTTCTGGCAAAGAAGGCCTCGGTCTCTGCCTGGATGACATCCGCCGCGTACTCGGCCGTCTACGCGTCGTAGTTCTCGTCCAGGCCGTCGGCAACCTCGTCCTCGGCCAGCTCATAGTCATAGCCGCCCTCGCCCATGTAGGCGGAGAGGTCTTCCTCGTAGCCGCCCAGGCTCTGGCTCTGATTTTCCCAAGCCAGGTACACATCGTCCCAGCTCTCGGGGCTCTCTTCGTCCGCAAGCACGGCCTGGTAGCTGAAGTTGTTCTTGCCCTTGGTGAGGCCCTTGCCCTTGTTACTGAAGAAGGGCCGCCCTCGTCCATAGCCAAAGCCACGCTTCTCCTTCATGTGCAGCTGCGGGTGTTGGGCCACCATTTCCTCGCAGACCTTGGCAACGGTGAGGTCCTTGCCGATCACGGTCCTGATCATGAGCACCTGGTCGTCGGTGAGCGGGAGCTTTATTTCTGAGTCCAAGTCTTGAAGGTAGCTCCACCACGTCCTTTTCCGGAGAACATATATATATATATATAGCAACCGGTTCGCCGACCTGCCTGCTCAAAGGTCCGTTTTCTCGGGCTCCTGCACTATAGAGCTCGCGGGCTTCTTGAAAACGGCGAGGTCGTAGGGCCTCGGTGAGGTACTTCACGATCATCTGTGCTCCCTTGGGACTGGCGAGGGTCTCTGCACTTATCTCACGCACTATGTGCATAGCCGGTCCTCTGAGTCCTTCCACCAGACGGACTCCAAGCGGGCCTAGCTTCTTCACCTCGGTGCTGTCCATCCCGCTTTCCTTCAGCTCCTTCATCTTCACACGGTAAGTGTACTCTTGGAGCTGGTGAACATTCCCGTCGTAGCGCGGGATTCCATATTCCCCTTCAGTAGATTCGCTCTCGGAAATCTCTGAAAACTTGCCCCATGTGAGGCCCTCCAGCAACGACATGAAAAGGCGACGCTGGGCGAACCACTAAATCTTATTCACACGGAAGCTTAGGAAGGTAGCGCATGTAAGGGCTCGGGTCCCTAAGAGCTCGAAGGCTCCGCTACCAGTATGAAAACTGCACAGTAAACAAGCACAACACTCTTTTTGCTGCACGCAGTCTCTGCTGCCATGCCTTGCCGCTATCCAGATCAGTGTGCTATCTCATCAGAGCTTGCTTTCAGATGCAGCTTCCTAGCCTAGGCGCTCCGGGTTTAGGATATCTGCAGCAAATCGGCGAGAGCTTCGGAANNNNCAGCCCCCCCCCCCCCCCTGGCCGCCAGGGGACACGCACGAGTGGACATTGAAAATCCGCAAGATGTATTTGGAGAGTTCATGGCCTGAAAATATCTTGTGCTTTTCCACTCGTGCGGGTCCCCTTGCCCTCACTTTCCCCGGCTCCCTGCCCGAGTTGAAGAGCGCAAGGTTTGAAGTTTAAAACCTTCCAGGTTTGAGGCAAGTCCGCCTCACAGCTCAGTTGGAAAGCGCAGGCTCTTACAAGTCCCCGAAATCGATAATTTTCGGTGGGTCGCCGGCCCACAGCCTGTGGGAGGGTTTAGGATTGTTGCAGCATGCCGGCGAGAGTTTCGGAATTCACCCGAAGGCAAATAGTGGAGCGTTGAAGAACTGATATCTGTCTTCGGAGGATTTAGGATTTCTCCACCAAATCGGGGAGAGCTTGGGAAGTCGCCCGAAGGCACGTCGTGGAGGGCTGAAGAATTAAGCAAAGAGCCAGGGGCTAGGGGACCCACACGAGTTGAACAGCCCAAGATTTGGAGAGCTTATGGCCTGGAAACTTCAAACCTTGCGCCTTTGAGCTCGGGCGTAGGTCGCCGGCCCACAGCCTTTGGGAGGGTTTCGGGTTCCTACCTTGCGAATAAGAAAGACGCCCCCGATTGAAAAATGTGTGAGACTCTGGTGAAGGAAGGTCTAATGTGGTTTTCCAAACATATAGTTAGACTAAACCCTAGGTCTGTGCACTACATACACATGCATGCATGCATGCATGCATGCATGCATGCATGCATGCATGCATGCATGCATGCATGCGCGCATACGTGCATACATGCATACATGCATGCATACATACATACATACATACATGCATGCATACATACATACATACATACATACATACATACATGCATGCATGCATACACATACATGCCTATACACATGTGAATACGTCAAAACTTGATTTCCCGCCGAGTGGCGAGGAAACCGAAATGCATATGCGTTGACGAATGGTTGGGAACACCAACGAGGTTTAACATTTTCTGAATGGCAGCGGATGCGCGCATGAACGCTTCAAGATGCCACACCACCTTCTGCAAAAAGCATCGTGAATTGTGTAGTACTGCATTCTTTGCCTTCTTGTGCTGTCCATGCAATTCCGGCCGGGAAACACAGCTATCTGCTACTGCTATGCTGATGCTGGAAGTCCTTTCGATTTTCTTGCGACCCGTTGTTGACAGAAGTCACAGAACATGCGTACCGAAGACGGTCCAGTCGAGCAGTGATGCTGTCACGAGCTCAGCGCAACCGCTTTACGGTGGACCAGAAACGCAGAAACCCATATGAGCATCGGCATTCCGGGAAGGAAGCTAAGGTTGATGCTCGGACGTCGTTTTCGACGACAAAGAGTCCAACTCGACCTTGGCCCAAGGCTTCTGAAGGACGGACACCCGCTGCACGGTGCTTGCTGTTGAGCGTTCCGTTCGTGTTCATCAGAAGCAGGTGTTGCTGTTTTCCGTGCGAGCTAAATGCGGTTCGCCTGCGAGCACTAGTACCGGATTCCAGCTGTCGCCTACGTGCCACTTTCAACCTGAGGAAGTCTACGCAACTTTGTCGGACCAAGGCGCAAGCGCATGCCTACATTCAATTCCAAAGCCTTCCCCATGTGGCGACTCAGTTCGGCAGGTATCCACCTCTCCCGCCATTTGGCTGAAGGTAAATCTCTGAGTACAGTTCCGCGACCGCTGTTGTCTTCAATCCGAGATCACGCACCCCTATGGCGCTTCAAGCCCTGCTCTGTCCCTATCTGTGTAATCAACCTGATACCCAGTCCCCAAAAAACACGACACATTGAACCGTCGGCTTTAAGAGCCCTGTGCCCTAGCCCCTGACAAGCCCCGCCCCCGAGCCTGAAATCACAAACACAACCCCTTTAAGGCCCGGCATTCAAAAATCTATTCTTCTATACAGCATTGCCCGCAAAGGTACCGCCTCACCACAATCCTCGCACGGTGCATCCCGAGCCGAGGTGTCGTGGACGGAGAAATCCTCCGACCTTCCGTCTGAGGTTTCAGGTCGCTACAACGGCCTTTAGAGCCAGGGGGCTTTGGGAACTTCGCTTCTGGATCAGTGCGTGGGGTTGTCTAGCAGCAGTGCTCAAAAGCTCGTACCACGAGATCACGGATTACGGCATTGACGTGCTTCCGGGCTGTTGTCTGGGAGTCCCGGACTGTCTAGTCGAACACCGATTGTAAAAAGGCCTAGAGCCTCTGAACTAGACACCGAGGCACAGCAGCCGCGTCGCCACAGGATGCTGCGCCTCATCGCCAAAAGCAAATGCCCCAAGCATGTTGTGAGGGTGGGCTTCAGACTGTGATCCGCATCTAGCTGGAAAACCTAGCCGAGCACGTGTGGCGAGCAGACGACAACGTACTGGAGAAACGTATTGCTTCAATATGCATAGTGGCTGTACAGAATGACGAACTGGCAAATCTTGGAAGGCGATAAGCATCGAAGTTGCGACAGCGAATTTCTCTTCACGATGCTCAACTCAGGATGTGGATCTCTCGAAGATACTCTTCGAGGGCGGGGGCATGGCAGAATGGCATCTTGACTGGCGATTAGTGCAGGACACTGGGAGAATACCTACACTGTATGCCGTATGCCGAACGGAATGATCCGACTAGAATGCAGGACGCAAAGACGCAAAGGCAGAGTGCACAGCACCGAAGTCTGACTTCTTCGCTCTTTATTAGGCTCAGAACTCAAATGACCCTCACCCACCTCGCCCACCCCTCGCTTGAAGCAGACCAAGCCAACTCACAAGGTTCCACAGACAGGCATTAACAGCTGTACGCCCGCCGGCGTCAAATGCTGGCTTACTCCAGAATCTGGACTTCTCTG